TGGCCACTGCTGACTTTTCCAAATTTGCTGACATATTGAGTGCAGCACTTTCATAGCATCATCTTTTAGAATTTGAAATAGCTCAACTGGAATTCAATCACCTCCACTAGCTTTGTTCGTAATGATGCTTCCTAAGGTCCACTTGACTTCACATTCCAGGATGTCTGGTTCTAGAGTGAGTGATCACACCATTATGATTATCTGGGTCGTGAAGATCTTTTTTGTACAGTTCTTCTGTGTGTACTTGCCACCTCTTCTTAATATCTTCTGCTTCTGTTAGGTCCATACCATTTCTGTCCTTTATTAAGCCCATCTTTGCATGAAATGTTCCCTTGATATCTCTAAATATTCTTGAAGAGATCTCTAGTCTTTCCCATTCTATTATTTTCCTCTATTTCTTTGCACTGATCGCTGAGGAAGGCTTTCTTATCTCTCCTTGCTATTCTTTGGAACTCTGCACTCAAATGGGTATATCCTTCCTTTTCTCCTTTGCTTTCACTTCTCTTTTTTTCACAGCTATTTGTAAGGCCTCCTCAGACAGTCATTTTGCTTTTTTGCATTTCTTTTTCTTGGGGATGGTCTTGATTCCTGCACAATGTCATAAACCTCAGTCCACAGTTCATCAGGCACTCTGTCTATCAGATCTAGTCCCTTAAATCTATTTCTCACTTCCACTGTATAATCATAAGGGATTTGATTAAGGTCATACCTGAATGGTCTAGTGGATTTCCCCACTTTCTCAATTTAAGTCTGAATTTGGCAATTTGGAGTTCATGACCTGAGCCACAGTCAGCTCCCAGTCTTGTTTTTGCTGACTGTACAGAGCTTCTCCATCTCTGGCTGCAAAGAATATAATCAATCTGATTTCTGTCTTGGCCATCTGGTGATGTCCACGTGTAGAGTCTTCTCTTGTGTCATTGGAAGAGGGTGTGTGCTATGACCAGTGTATTCTCTTGGCAAAACCCTATTAGCCTTTGCCCTGCTTCATTCTGTACTCCAAGGCCAAATTTGCCTGTTACTCCGGCTGTTTCTTGACTTCCTACTTTCGCATTCCAGTCCCCTATAATGAAAAGGACATCTTTTTTGGTTGTTAGTTCTAAAAGATCTTGTAGGTCTTTATAAAACCGTTCAACTTCAGCTTCTTCAGCATTACTGGAGTTCATAGACCTTGAAGGCTACTCAAGAGGCAGAAATGAAAGAACTTGGTAACTGACTGAACGCTGGGGCTGACGGAGAAGGAAGACTTACAATGACTCTCAGTTTCAGGTTTAAGGACTGGATGGAGAGCAGGACTTCTTAACAAAAAGCAGAACAACAAGTTTACACTGCACTGCAAGGAATTTAGGAGTGAACACTATAGTCAGCACCTTTATATCCAGTGCAACTGTCCCCATGATAAGGCAACAAGGGTTGAGGGTGAGAATTTAACTACCCTCTGTCCTAAAGGCATAAATCCTTTGTTCCAGCTAAAAACAACAAAACAAAACACCTAACACTTACACATACATGGCCCAAATGTACATTTCTGGAGGGAGACTCCAGTACTTCTGCTTGGTGTTGAAAGAGAACTGGCTCTCTCTGCCTACCTAGGCTTGACCAGAAACATTGAGTAGCTGTTAGCAAGCATTTTCTGAAGCAGAAGAATAAACGTGATAGAAGAGGTGGGCAAAGCCAAGACCACTATAAAGAAATGCAGTCAGGGCCCTGAGGCAACCACGATCCAGGGCTGGCCTGTCTCTGGGTCCTCTGTTATGTGAGCCTGTGCTCCGGTTACCAGAAAAGCCCATCTGAGTAAGCTTCCTACTGCTTACAGCTGAAGACGTGGAACTACTACAGAGGCTGGAAACAGAAAGAAGGTTAATAAATCACAAACTCTAAATCAGCTCAACTGAAGAAGAGTAAGGAGGGCTAGGGAATTCGGATATCCTTGTTATCAAAGAAAAAAAAAAATGCTGCTTAAAGCACCACCCTTCTGTACCTTTGGACCAGACCATGTAACTCCAGTACTGTAACTGTGGTACCAAGATCTGACAGAGGAAAAACTGAGGCTCACAGGATGTTTTGGCTAGTTCCTCACAGCTTAAATCTTACACACAGAAGTTTATAATATTATTCTTTGCATTCTACAATGTTTTTAATTGTCACATGTGAAGTATTTTAAATCCTAGGTTTCAAAAAAACTAATTCCTAAGAAAGTATATACACTTAATGGAGAAAGTTTTAGATCCTGTTTGCTCCATGTATTTGTTTTAAGGTCTCACAATTTATTATAATAATCAGAAATAACATGACCAAAACTTTCACTATGAGTTTGAAAGTAAGGGAATTTAATAACTAAGTAATTGGTACATGCAAATTTTAACACTGAGAAATTATGCAATGAAAAAGCCTGAAAAGATCAATTATGTACCAAGTGTTCATATAAAATCCTTTCTAAGGAGACTGAGTGAAGCTACTATGTACCAAGTGTTCATATAAAATCCTTTCTAAGGAGACTGAGTGAAGCTACTATGTACCAAGTGTTCATATAAAATCCTTTCTAAGGAGACTGAGTGAAGCTACTATGTACCAAGTGTTCATATAAAATCCTTTCTAAGGAGACTGAGTGAAGCTACTATGTACCAAGTGTTCATATAAAATCCTTTCTAAGGAGACTGAGTGAAGCTACTATGTACCAAGTTTTATATGAAAAGATCAATTAAAACAACATGAATTCTACATATCAAACGAACTCTCCAGCCTAAGTAACACAGTGGCCATTCTATAGAGACTACTCCTTTTTGAACTATTTAACAATAAAATGGGATTCCCTAAAGATCAGTTGGTAAAGAATCCGCATGCAATGCAGAAGACCCTGGTTCGATTCCTGGGTCAGGAAGATCCACTGGAGAAGGGATATGCTACCCACTCCAGTATTTGGGGCTTCCGTTGTGGCTCAGTTGGTAAAGAATCCACCTGCAATGTGGGAGGCCTGGGTTTTATCTCTGGGTTGGGAAGATCCCCTGGGGAAGGGGAAGGCTACCCACTCCAGTATTCTGGTCTGGAGAATTCCATGAACTGTATAGTCCATGGGGTTGCAAAGAGTCGGACACAACTGAGTGACTTTCAATCACAACAACAGAACATCCTGATTTTCAAAAATAAAATTTTGACAACCAGATCTTTTCTTTTTGTTTTGGTACAAGAAAGCCAATTTCAAATTTCCAGAGCGGTAAGCTTGTACCATATAAAGATTTCAAGATTAGTAAAGATTTGATGATTTACTCTGATGCCCACGCCCATGCATCAGATATGAGAATTACCAAAGTCACCACTGTCATACTGCTATTCCTCACTCTTTGTAACTCATTCATCTCCTCTCATTCTTCCCAGTTCTCTTCAGTGTGCCCTCTACTGATCTGTCTTCATCTGATTCACCGTCTGTTGTTTTCCTTTGTCTCTTTCTGTGTGTGTCCAGCTTTCTCCTCCTGTGTCCTAGGACATCTCTGTGCCTCTACCCTTACCTTTGGTCTCCCCATTCTCCCTCTGCTATCTCTTCATTCTCCCTTCTCCTCTAATCTTTAGCCATAGTAGTTAACTTATTTGATATAATTACAGAATCAAAGTTTATACTCTCCGCCTTGTCATTTTTAAGTTGTAAGATGGTTTTTATTCCAATACTTTGGCCATCTGATGTGAAGAACTGACTCATTTGAAAAGACCCTGATGCTGGGAAAGATTTGAGGGCAGGAGGAGAAGGGGACCACAGAGGATGAGATGGTTGGATGGCATCACCGACTCAATGGACATGAGTTTGGGTAAACTCCAGGAGTTGGTGATGGACAGGGAGGCCTGGCGTGCTGCAGTTCATGGGGTCACAAAGAGTCGGACACAACTGAGGGACTGAACTGACTGACTGACGGTTTTTATTTCCGACTTTAAAAATACTGTTTCTTACATTGTGTTGCATGGCCCTGAATTGACGCACTCAGCAAGTCAGTGTCATGATAAGGTACTGTTTACTCACCACAGAGCAACAGTTTTTACTAAAGTTTTTGGATCAGAAGAAGCATTCCTTGGACAGTATAAAACTAAACTACTGAATTCACTCATCTAAACTGCTTTAAGAAAATGGCACTAGAATTCTGGGACTCGTGTTTTAAGAATTCAAATTTCTTTTTAAAAAATTGTTATTAAATGGATGGAATATCTAATGTGATAAAATCTTTAAAACTGTTGTGAATTTAGTGACTGCCTCTGTGTGACCTGGCCTTGACACTTGAATGGCTTTACCATTATGAAGTTTAACTAAACAGCATTCTACAAATACCTGAACTTGCTTTTCTACAGAGAGAAAAATGAAGGAGAGAGAATGAACCCACCAAATCAGATAGCTGACAGTATAGCAGGAATCAGCAACTAAATCCTTAGTTTCCAGAAAATAACCTCAGTGCTTCCATCATTTATGATTTATTTTTTATTCTTTATCATACACTCTCCATAAATACCAATATAACAACTCATTTCTGTTTTATTTTGGGTTATCTTTAGTTTTCTTCTATTGTTTGAAGGTTTAGAGCACAATGTTCTACATTAAAAAAAATTAAAATAGAATCCTAAACATAAATAAAGAGAAAGCAAGATACTATAGTCCAAGGGCAACTGTTATTTCATCATAAAGAAAAATTAACTTAGATGTCAGATAGAGAGCCTCATAATCAAATGTACAACTTAGCTATATTTCACTGGATACAGAACATCAACATTAATGTATCTATGCTCTTACCAAACAATGTGTCTCAAGTGTTCTGACTCTCCCTAATGTTACAGAGGTTACTATGTGACATGCCACAGGACACTAAGTCATTCTGGCATTCAACCAGTCTTTAGAAGGGACTTATACTAATTCATTTCCCTATTAACTGTGTCTCTGAATTGACAACCCCTGGCAAGGCAGTGTGAAAGAAGGGTGATTAGGAGAGAAATATTCTTAAGATGGAGTAAGCAGGGAAGGTACTAGCCTGTCATATGCAGCAATCATGAAGTTGAGAAGGAGGCTGATGGACTGCTCCACACTGATCTGGTGAGTGGAAGGAAGGCGCTTGTTCAGCTGGTAGTAGATGGATGAGATGACGGTCTCGAGGCGGGACACGCTGATCTCAGTGCTATGGTCCAGTGTATTAAGGCCATTGTCTCGGAAGGCTTCAATCATGTTCCAGATATCAACAAGATGGACTAGAACACAAAGAGAAGCTGTCAACAACTCAACAGCTTTAATTTATCAGAAAGCTCTAAGAACTTTGCATTTATTTACAATTACTAGAACAGTGAAGGGTAGGGCTTCCCCGGTGGCTCAGCGCCAATGCGGGAGACACGGGTTGGATCCTTGGTCCCAGAGGATACCACATGCTGTGGAGCAACTAAACCAGTGCACCACAGCTACTGAGAGTGTACTCTAGAGCCCAGGAGTCCCAACTATGAACCCACATGCTACAATTACTGAAGCCCACACACCCTAGGGCCACGCTCTGCAACAAGAGAAGCCACCGCAATGAGAAGCCCTTGCACTACAACTAGGGAGTAGCCCCTACTCCCTGCAACTAGAGAAAGCCCACGCAGCCATGAGGACCCAACACTGCCACAAATAAATAAATATTTTTAAAAAAGAATAGTGAAGAGTGGCAGAATATGTCACCCCAAAATATGTCACTGTGGCCTATGGATTAGTTTGAGCTAAAGACACTTGAAAAACAGCAGATGCCAAAAAGGACACTCTGACCTCCCCCTTTCTTCCCCAAAGCAGGAATAAAAAGTCCCATGTGAACAATGCCCTCCCTATTTCAGGAGGAAAGAAACATCTTCTTCACCAGAGACAGTGAATTGAGTGTGAGAGAAATCTGTACCTACTTCATTAAAACGACTCTTGTCTTCATTCTCTCAATATTTTACTTTTCGACAACTGCTACTCTTCGTTCAACTCAGTGTATAAGCACTTAGTCCTACTCACTTCTTTTTTGCCTCCCCTTTGCTGCTTCAAAAATACACAATGCAAAAGGTAACAGAACCTCAAAAAGACAGTCACAAGCTTTGTGGGAGACAGTAACACAATCCTCTTAAGCAAGTGGCAGAATAAACATATAAAAAGATAAGAACAGTCATAGGCAAAGTTTACAACCAATAAAGTAGGCATAATTGACACCATATGAAGTCCTGCCCCAATGATCAGAAAATATGCTTTACTTTCAAGAACAAAAAGAATACGCATAAAAATTGACCTTGAAAAAATATTGACCTTACTTTGAGTCATAAAGTTAATCTCAATAAATGTTAAAGGATTAAAGTCATATAAACATTGTTCTCTGGCTAAAATGAAATTAAGTCAGAAATCATTATCAAAAGAAAACTTTTAAAATAAGCCTTATCTTTAGAAATGAAGAAACATACTACTAGGAACTTCCTTAATCTGATTAAGGATAGCTACAAAAAACTGCAGCAAACATATTACTTAATAGTAAAATGGTGAAAGCTGTTTCTCTGATACTGGGAATGAGATAAAAACGCCCACTATCATACTTCCTATTGTATTTCAGATCCTAAACCATATAAATATGCAGTAATTATCAGTACAAACATTGGAAATAAAGAAATGTAACCATTCAAATGACAAAATTATATACATTAAAAATCATAAAGACTATATATTTATCACTAAAATTAATATGTGAGTCTAGAATGAATGCTAGATACAAATCAAGATATGAAAATCACTGCATTTCCACTACCAGTTACAGGTAATGAAATTTTTAAAACCTATAACAGTATTACAAATCATCAAGAATTTAGGAATAAGTCCAATAAAGGATGTTCACCATCTCTACCAAAATACCTATAAATATAACTAGCAGAAATTGAAAATCTAAATAAATGGAGGGATATACCACACTCATAGAATGAAATCTCAACACTGGAAATACAGCAATTCTCCCCAACTTGATCAACAGATTCAATGCAATCCCAAGAAAATCCCAAGTGCTATATATTAAAAGGATGAATTTTACTATATGTAAATTAAATTTTTAATTTTATAATTAAAATTATGCTTTTAGTATAAATTAACAGATTCTAAAATTTGTGTGAAATTAAATGTAAAAAGGAGTATGTCTCTATATAACAAAGTAGGGAGACTTGTTCTACCTGATATCCAGAACACGCTATAAAGCTATAACAATGACGATTGGTACAAGGATAGACAAATAGACCAATAGAACACAAGAGTCCAAAAGCAGATCCTCTCATATATGGACACAGCTATCAACATTCTAGTACATTTCTCCTAATGAATATGAGAAAAAGATTTTTTAGTAATGGAGAAAAAAGATGGTCTCTTCAATAAACAGTGTAGGGTCAACTGAACATACATATGGGAAAAATTTGATTCCTACTTATACTCTCTACCCACAAAAAAATTTCACGTGGATTAAAGAATCATATGTGACAACATAAAACTTCTAAAACCATGCATCTTTATATTACTAATGGCATTAGCCTGGCTCAGCCCACATACAGACTACTATGTTCCAAGAATTATAGGAAGAATTATAAAACTGGTAGTTGCCCTAGGACAGTGGTTTTCAAACTTTCTGACAACCCACAAAAATGTATTTTAATCAAAACACACATACACACACACTTCTAGATATATAAAAAACATGTTCCACAAAATACCTTACTACATAAGCTATATTCTAGTTTTTTGTCCTTCTTTCTCTCCATTACATGCTTTAAATTCTGGCTACAGTCCACCAAAACGGTTTCAGGAACCATTAGCAGGTCATAACCCATAATTTGAAAAACAATGCTTTGGGAAATCAGAGAAGAAACATGACTTCAATCTAGGATGGCATGGTAAACTCTTCAAAAGAGAATTTTAAGCTAGAATCTCTGAGTAGGACTTAAAGCAGTGTAGAAGTATTTAGATATAAAGTGATTTATAATAAATGACAAACAAAACCTAGACTAAAACAGATTCTCCCACTCTAAGGCTAATGATTTTTAGATTACACAAAACAGTTTTTCCTTAATACACACACAAACACATATATGAGAAAAGTACAATAATTCTAAATTAGTTCTCTGTACACAAATTAAGAAGAATTTTATATGCCTGTGTATATACATATACACATACATATATTTATTTCATAAGTAGCAATTGTGGAAGCAACTGCTTATAGAAAGGGCTGATTTATGTTATAATAAGTTTAATCAAGAAAGTTAATTTTTATTATACCCTTATCAAAATATTAGCTTTTCTTTCCTTCCAGAAACTGATAAATTGTATTAATTTTATACAGAACTTTTCACTAAAAACAGTGACAAGGAGAAATCAATTCTCCCATTTAAAGAATTAATTAATCTCAAAGCTAGTTAGCTTACTGAGTTTCTTAAATATTTTGAGGGACACCCAGAATAAATCAAGAAGTTCTTTCCATTATGAAGCTTACATTCTGATAAACACGACAAAAAATAATTCAATTAACATTACAATATGACTAGAAGACAGTAAAATCTTTTATACTATCAAGAGCTCAATCCAGCTATCATAGAAATGAGTAGAAATGACTTACGGTTGCATCGCTTTTGTACAAATCGTAATTTGCAAGCTGTTCTGTAAGTTGATAGTCGTATGACATCAAAATTCTGAGCACCTGAAAAAGGGCAAATAAAAAACCTTCAATTAGATTTACCATTTAATTTCCAGACACTGGGGAAGTGATTCTATTCTATTGTGTTGGCACAGGCTATATAACATGTCAACTAGACCTTCTTTGGCTAAAACACAAGGTGGAGAAGAACGGTTAAGAAACACTTCTGTGTGCCCACTCCATGCCAAGCACGACGCCAGCAGTTTTGCCTACATCAGTCTGTCTGCTAGTTTAGGAAAACTCTGAGGGGAGGACCACTCATGATTTGAGTGAATGAATTACATATTCTGCAAAGTGAAAATCAGTGGTAGAGTAGGAAAGACCTCAGCCTAGAGCCAGGAAAGCTAAATCCCAGCCCCAGTCTAACCACCAACCATGAACCATGACTGTGCCCATGTTACATCCCTTCTTCTCGGCCTCACTGATGAGGCCAGGGAAAAATCAGGGGACTGGGCCAGCTGATCTCTAAGGTCCCCTTCCATGTCTGAGGCAGCCTGTGTTTTTCAAGAAAGGGCCATGACAGTATTTCCAGACCACTGTTTTATGTGCTTCTAGTACACTGCCCCTCCCCAGCAAGAGCTAAAGATTATTTCCCGCCACCTGCATATGAGGACACTGTGCCTGCCTCAACAAAGAGAGTGTGGCAGAGGAACACTGCCTGCTTTCTGAAGATGGGTGATAAACCTGGGACAGCCTGCCCCTGCTCTCACTCTCTGAGGATGCTTGGAACCTGGACATCATTGTTGTAAAGAAGCCCAAACTAGCTGGATGTGGAGAGACCACACAGAGATGCTGGTAGGCAGAGGAACTGAGTCCATTAGCTTAAAGTCAGCAGCAACTGCCAAACACGTAAGTGAGCAAGTCAAATGACCCAGCCTTGAATCTGAGCCTTCCAACAGAGGCCTCAGACTTCATGCAGCGAAGTCAAGTCATCAGCACTGGATGATGTTCTGTTTTCAGACCCGAAAAAGATGTAAAACAAATGGCTGTTCGGGAATAAGTGATATATAGCCATAGTAACTAGAACAAAGCCTAAATTACATGAGGCTATAAATCAAACTTTGTTTTCATTTCAAAATTTGCTGTAAAAGTCTCGTTGAACGTTAAGCCCACTTCAGGGAAGTCTGACCTCCAATGTGAGTTTCTTTTTTATTTTATCCATACTGCCTTTGTAAGATCTGGCGGCAACTTTTGACACAATAGATGGAAAGGGAACTGTCATAAATTATCTTCTTCTACCAATATTTACAGTCATCTCTCATTTCTGCTCATTCCACAGTACGGGGTTGGGGGGGGGGGAGAAAAAAGGAAGGATTTTTCCAGGTTTTTGGTGAACATACCTATTGACCAAAAATTGAAGCAAAGATTTCTTTTAATCTCACTTCAATCAACCTTTACCTTGATGTCACGATTAAAATTATTTTCTTCATCAGCTGGCTCTCACAAAATTTCTATCCTTCTATACATACACTATTCAGTCCTATTTTTTAATATACCAGGTATTTTGAAATAGAATTCACCAATTTTAAGTATTCAGTTTAGTTGTACAACCATCACCACAGTCAGTTTTTAGAAATTTTTCATTATTTCAAAAACAAACCTCTTCCCCTTATGAGTCACTCTGTTTATTTCTTAATTGGGTTGTTTATCTTTCAACATCGAGTTGTAACAGTCCTTTATATGTTGTAGATATGAGTCCCTTATGAAATATATGATTTGCAAATTTTTCTTCCCATTCTGTGAGTAGTCATTTCACTTTCTCAGTTATATCTACTAGAGCACAAAAGTTTTTAACTTTGATTAATCCACCATATCTATTCATTCTTTAGTCACTTGTGCTTTTGGTGTCATACCTGAGAAGGCTTTGCCTTATCTAAGTTCATGAAGATTTATATTAATACCTATACTATTATTTAATTATTACCTACATTCAATTATTACCTAATAATACCTATATTATTATTTAAATGGTTTTTTCTAACCATTTTACAGTTTTAGCTCTTATATTTAGGTCTATGACATATTTTCAGGGCTTTGCTGGCAGCTCAACTGGTAAAGAATCCGGGTGCAGGGCAGGAGATGCTGGTTCAATTCCTAGGTCAGGAAGGTCCCCTGGAGAAGGGATAAGCTACCCACTCCAGGATTCCTGGGCTTCCCTGGTAGCTCAGATGATAAAGAATTCACCTGCAATGCAAGAGACCCCAGTTCAATTCCTGGGTCAGGAAGATCCCCTGGAGGAGGGCATGGCGACCCACTCCAGTATTCTTGCCTGGAGAATCCCCATAGACAGAGGAGCCTGGCGGAGCCTTGCAAAGAATCGGATACAACAGAGCGACTAAGCACATGACATATTTTTAGTTAATTTACTATGTGGCATGAGGCAGCAGTTCAAATTCATTCTTTCACATATAGATACCCACCATTCCCACCACTATTGGTTCAAAAGACTATTCTTTCTTCATTAAATGGTCATGGAATCCTTGTGAAAAAATCAAGCAACCACAGGTGTATGGGTTTAATTCTGAACTTTCAATTCTATCCCATTGATGATATGTCTATCCTTATGCTATGATATGTCCTTATGATCATATCCTTATATCTATCCTTATACCAGTACCACACAATCTGGATTATTATGGCTTTTGTACAATAGTTCTCAAATTCAGAAGTGTGAGTCTTCAAAATGTGCTCTTCTCTTTAGAAATTATTTTGGCTATTCTGGGTCCTTGAATTTCCATATGAATTTTAGGATCAGCCATATCCCTTTCTGTAAAGAAGCCAGTTTTTTATGAGATCTGCAGTGAGTTTATGGATCCATTTAGGAAATATTGCCATCTTAATGATAAATCTTCTGATCCTTTAAAACAGGGTATCTTTCCATTTATTTAGTACTTTCTTAATTTCCTTCAATAATACTTGGTAGTTTTCAAAGTTTTATACCTCTATGTTGAAGTTATTCAGTCTGAGTTTCTTCCACTCATTTAGTTTCTATGTTACTGCGCTTGTGCTGTGCTTAATCATTCAGTCATGTCCAACTCTTTGCAACCCTATGGACTGTACTCCGCCAGGCTCCTCTGTCCATGGGGATTCTCCAGGCAAGAATACTGGAGTGGCTCGCCACGCCCTCCTCCAGGGGATCTTCCCAACCCAGGGATCGAACCCATGTCTCCCTCATTGCAGGTAGATTCTTTACCATCTGCGCCACCAGGGAAGCCCAGGAATCCTGGAATGTATAGATTATCCCTTCTCCAGGGGACCTTCCCAACCCAGGAATCAAACCAGGGTCTCCTGAATTGCAGGCGGATTCTTTACCAGCTGAGCTACTAGGGAAGCCCTTCTATGTTACTACCTCAGTCTAAATATTTTCAGTTGGAACCATTAAACATTAATTATTCAAAACCAAACCAATGATTTTAAGAAAGAATGCTGACAAATGTCCAAGGGCATTTAAGAAATAAACCATCATAAAATCACTGTAATTTTAATTACAGTGTAAATTTATAAAAATTTACAGTGTAAATTTAATTATAGCTAATTTTAATGATTAAACATATATTTTTATGAGAAACACTGAGAAAAAGGATGTTAACAGCTAGGAAAGGAAAGTTCCATCCCCAGCTGATCAAACAAAAGATTACTAATCTAATTGATCGGACTTTTGCAAGGCATTTATTAGGCCATGTTTGCTAGTGGAGAAGTAACTACAGTAAAAAAAAAAAAGTCAGTATATCTGGTATAATTTACTCTCTTCAAACTCTTTCTCTAGTGCAGTTAGGATCAGATTAGTCACCACAAAAGATGAAATAAAGCAGATACCATGCAAGTCCAAAGCTAACTAGTTTCAGAAAACAGAAGACTCCAAATGTTTCAGTTTGCCAGAAATCACTATGTTAAAGTTTCAGGAACCAGTCAAGAGTCAAGTATCACTCTGCTTTCCTTTGCCAGTCTGATCCTTAAGAACATACATCACTCTAAATGCAATAGGGGAAAATGTACAAACAGTGGTGGGGCTTTCCTGGGGGATCAGATGGCAAAGAATCTGCCTGCAATGTAGGAGACCTGGGTTCAATCCCTGGGCTGGGAAGATCCCCTGGAGCAGGGAATGGCTACCCACTCCAGTATTCTTGCCTGGATAATTCCATGAACAGAGGAGCCTGGGAGGCTACAGTTCACAGGGTCCCAAAGAGTCAGACATGACTGAGCAACTAACACTTTCACTTCACTTCATAGATAGCAGTGACTATTACAGAATTCAGAAATTCTAGGAATTTCTGGCCAGACTATCATTTCTTAAAAATCTAACAGCAGTCCAAATCCAAAAATAATGCCTAAAGGGATTTCCCAGGTAAGAACACTGGAGTGGGTTGCCATTTCCATTTCCAGGGCATCTTGCCGACCCAGGGATCGAACCCTGGTCTCCTGCATGCAGGTGGTCTCTTTAGACTGAGCCACCAGGGAAGTCCTATCAGTAACCGTAGAGCTTCACTAAAATCTTACTATACTAATACTCAACAAATCAGGTACTCTAGCCTCCCATATACTTCCCTTCTCCTAGAGCAGTCCAGTCTTCCCTAATCTATGTAAGAAGAAGCCACATCCACTAAGTATAGCCTTCGCTTTTTTAATACTTCCCCTATGCAGAGTGAAAGTGAAAGTCACTCAATCGTGTCCAACTCTTTGCGACCCCATGGCCTATACAGTCCATGGAATTCTCCAGACCAGAATACTGGAGCAGGTAGCCTTTCCCTTCTCCAGGGGATCTTCCCAACCCAGGGATCGAACCCAGGTCTCCCACATTCCAGGCAGATTCTTTACCAGCTGAGCCACAAGGGAAGCCCAAGAATACTGGAGTGGGTAGCCTATCCTTTCTCCAGTGGATCTTCCCAACCCAGGAGTCAAACCAGGGTCCCCTGCATTAAATTCCCGATCAGAAAATATGTTAGCTTGGCAAATACAAAATAGAAAAACCCCGAGTGAAGAAGTTTAAATGATTAGAATATTAC